CTAAATATAATTCTTTTGAATTCCTTATCAGGGAGTTCTAATGCTGTTTCTTCCTTGTGGATGTGTTTTGGGTCTGTATCCTGGTCCCTTGTTTTTCTTGGTTTATCTTTCTTCCTTGTGTGGACTGTGATGCTCTGTTGTCCCCTAGGCAATGTGACGTTTTTGTGTTTGTATTTAACTGGTGATTTTATGTCGGAGTGACTTGCCCACAATTTTCATTTTCTTTGTTGTTTGGATGTTATCTATGTAAGCAGGGTACTGTTCTCCTCTATTCGATAGTTGGCAGCACTCACCACCTGTCTACTTTCCCATTATCAGCCTTCTGTATGTCCCTGCCATCCTTGGCAAATGGAACCTATTCTTAGGTCCCTGGAATCCGAATGAGAATGCTGTCACTTTAAAATCCAATTTGACTGCTGCTTGTAAACATTCAAAAGGGCTGTGCCCTGGGTCACTTCAAATACCCAAAATGGGCCACCGTTTGTAAACATTAAAAATGGCTGCACCCTCAGTCACTTTAAATATCCAAAATGGCCACCACTTGTAAACAATCAAAATAACTGTACCCTCTGGTCAGCTGAAAGTCCGTAGCTCAGGTTGTCTCTCTCCTTGCAGTTTCCCTTACTAGTCATAGGCCACCAGCGCAGTTGTCCCTGCAGCACTTGGCAACCAGGGCTGATCTTTAGGCCATTTCTCAGGTCCCAACACCACTTGGAAATATTCAGGCTGTTGGTCCCATCAGAGTAGCTGACAGTGCACAGCTCCAACTGTCTCCGTACTCATTGTTTTCATTCAAGTTTTTCCACTGGTTGGTGCCTAATCCACTTTTATATCCTTCCTTTCAAAGCTCAGAGCTCCAGGATTATGTTCTATATCTCTGTCAATTGGTTTCTCTTTTTTTTGTTGAGGAGGGTCTATGGAGCTTGTCTGCCTATTCTGCCATCTTACCAGAAGTGCCTCAATTGCATTTTTTTTGCATCAATTGATAATGATCATTTTGTTCTTTTCCTTTGTTTTATTTTTGTGGTGGATTTTCTTTAATCATCCTTACATACCTGGTATGAATCCCACTTGGTCATAAGATATTATTTGTTGATGTCTTGCTGCATTCTATTGGCTAGTATTTTGTTGAGTTTTTTTGCATCAGTATTCATGAGGGATATTGGTGTGCAATTCTTTTCTTTTTAATGATGTCTCTGTCTGGTTTTGGTATCAAGGGTTATGCTTGCCTCATGGAATGAATTCAGTAGTATTCCATCCTTTTCTAAGTTCTAAAATAGCTTGAGTTGTATTGGTGTCAGCTCTTCTGAATATTTGGTAGAATTCAACAGTAAAGACATCTGGGCCAGAACTTTTTTTGCTGGGAGGTTATTTATTTATTTTTTCTTGTTATGACTTGTTCAGCTTCTTCTACCTCAGATTGTGTCAGTTTAGGTAGTGTGTTCTAGAAATTTGTCCATTTCTTCTGTGTTTTCAAATTTGTTGGAGTACAGTTCTTCATCGTATTCTATTATTATCCTTTTTATTTCTGTAGGTTCTGTTGTGACATTGCTTATTTCATTTCTTATTCACATTATCTGCATCTTTCTCTTTTCTTTTGTTAAATTTGCCAGTGGTTTGTCAATTTTAATAAATTTTTTCCAAGAACCAACTTCTAGTTTTGTTGATTCTCTCTATTTTTCTGTTTCATTTATTTCTGCTTAGCTTTTATTATTTCTTTTCTTCTGGTAACTGTGGCCTTTTTTCTAATTGTTGGAGATAGCAGGTTAAAGTATTAATTTTGATTATTTCTTTTTTGATGGGTGCATTTATTTCTATAAATTGTCCTCTGAGTACTGATTTTACTGTGTTCCAAACATTTTGGTATGTTGTGCTTCCATTCTTGTTTAGTTCAAGGAAATTTTAAATTTCATTTCATTTTTCATTTCTTCTATTACCCAGTAGTTTTTAAGCAGGGTGTTCCTCAGTTTCCATATATTTGATCTTTTTTCCTGGATCTCATTGTTAATTTCTAATTCATAGCACTGTGATCTAAGAAGATGCTTTATAGTATTTTAATGTCTTTAAATTTATTGAGGCTTCCTTTGGGACTTAATGCATGGTCTTTTCTGCAGAAAGTTCCAGGTGCACTGTAAAAGACTGTGTATTGTACTATTGTTGGGTGGAGTGTTCTATATACATCTGTGAGATCTAGTTGGTTGATTTTGTTGTTTAGATCTACTGTATTCTTGTTGAGTTTCTTTCTTGTTCTTCTGTCCTTCATTGAAAGTAGTGTATTAAAATCTACTACTATTATTATGGAGTTGTCTATTTCTCTTTTCAATTCTGTTAATGTCTCATTTATGTATTTTGGTACTCTCTCATTGAGTGTGTAAATAATTATTATGGTCATGTCCTCTTGTTTGATTGATCCTTTAATCATTATATAATGTCCTTTCTCATCTCTTCGCTGGTTTTTGCCTTGAAATCTATTTTATCAGACATTAATATTGCCACTGCTTCTCTTTTTTGGTTGCCATTACTTGATATATTTTTTTCAACCTTTGCTTTTCAGTCTCTTTTTGTCTTTGTGTCTAAGGTGTGTCTCTTGTAGACAGCGTATTGATGAGTTGTGTTTTCTTACCCACTCTGCAACTCTTGACTATAATCTATTTACATTATAATTACAGTGTAGTTATAAATAGTTGTGAATTTCCTGCTGCCATTTTGCTGAGTTTTTGTGTCATTGTGTGTGTGTGTGTGTGTGTGGTGTTGATAGTTTCTTTGTTCAATATATGTTTCTGTGCTGCTCTCATTTTGTTTATACATTTCCTTATTTCCTTTGTTGCTGTTGTTTTAGTGTTTACTGAGACTTTATGATTTTCTTCTTTTTTATTTTGGTGAGAAGGCTTATCAATTTTCTTTGAGATTACCCTGTAACTTATTATTATCTTCCTAAGTTTAAAGCAATCTGTTGGATCTTTGTATTGTCTTGACTTCTCCACTTGGTAATTCTGTGAGTCCATCATGTATTCCCTCTTTCTGCTTTGTAGTTATCATTGTGTACAAATTGACATCTCTGATTCCCTATTTTCCATCTTGTAAGTTTGTTTTATTTTTTATATTTCTGTATCTGGGTTGATTTCCAGGGGATATTGTCGTATGTCTTAATGTCCAGTTGTTGTCTGCCATTGGTGGTTCTCTGTCCAGAGCATTCTTTTTTGCATTTCTTATAATGTTGGTCTGGTTTTTGCAAGTTCCTTTAATGTCTGTTTATCTGTGAATGTCCTAACTTCACCATAGTATTTGCATTTGAGAGACAATTTTGCTGGATATATAATTTTTGGTAAGCAATTTTTTTCTTTCAGGGTTTTATATATGCCATCCATTACCTTCTTGTTTGCGTGGTTTCTGCCAAGAAATCCGAGCTTAGTCTTATTGTTTTTCCTTTGTAGGTAACTTTTAGTTCGTTCTGAGCTTCTTTCAGGATTGATTCTTTATCTTTGGTTTTTAAAAGTTTGATTATGATATGTCTTGGTGATTTTCTTTTGGGTCTATTTTGTTTGGGGTTCATTGAGCTTCTTGAATGCATATCTTTCATCTTTCATGATATCGGGAAGTTTTCTTCCAACACATCTTCAAAAATTTTCTTAGTGCTTTGTGTGTGTGTGTGTGTGTGTGTGTGTGTGTGTCTTCCTGTTCTGGAATTCTGATTGCATGTAAATTATTCTTCTTGATGATGTTCCAAATAATTCTTAGGCTTTTTTCTTCTTCTTCTTTTTTTTTGCTTCTTTTCTGATTGTTCCTCTGACATATTAATGTTGAAAGAATTGTATTCAATCTCGCTAATTTTGTTTTCCATTGATTCAGTTTTACTCTTTTGTCTTTCCAATATATTATCCATTTCTGAAATATGAGTATTAATCTTCTGGATTTCTGTTTGTTAGTTTTGTATGGTTCCTAATTATCATTTTTTGTTTGTTTGTTAATTTGTTCTTGTATTTTTTAAAAATTCTAGAGTTTTGTCTCTTTTCCTTGATTTTGTCTGTGGTTTCCTTGAACTTTCTCTTAATCCATTTAAGATACCTAAATATAACTATTTTAAATTCTTTATCAGGTAATTCCACTAGCATTTCTTCCTATGGAAAGTTTTCTGGCCCTGCTTTTTGATCACTTGTTTGAATCTTGTCCTGTCTTTTTGTGTGATTTAAAGTTGTCTGTTGGGTCTGAGACATTGTGGTGTTATTATATTGTTTTGTTCATTGTGTGTTGGTTTGCGTCACCCTGATTTTTTGTTTTGTTCTGTTTTAATATATCTGGGCAACAGGGCCAGCAAGTAACTCTGGTTGTTAGCTTGGTAGCACTGGGGTGTATACCACCTGTCTCCAGGTGGATATGGTAGCAGGTGGAACTATGGGCACAGTCTCTGATCACTGGTCATGCACGGCAGCTGAGGGCAGGCTGGGTGATTCCAACTCACTTGTCACCTGATCACCTATGTGGGTGCTAGTACAGTTGTGGGAAAGTGGAGCCAGTTCTCTGGTTCCTGCTCTGATCTGAATGCTGCTTTCAATCATTCAAAATGGCCATGCTGTGCTGGTTGGCAGTTTATCACTGCTTGTTCACTGCTTTCATTCAGTCTGTTCCTCTCATCATAATTTTATCTACTTCTTCATCTTTTCTTTGAAGTTTTGGGATCCAAGATTGTCGTCCATAACCATTTCCCTTGTTTCTTTGAGTCTGTTGTAGAGAGTCTGGATAGTGTATCTATCTACAGTGCCATCTTGGAACATAGCCCTCTATTTAACTTTTGAGTGACTTTAACAGGCTCTTGAATGCTTACTTATTGCTGGGGTAGATAGTAAGGAGAAAGTGTGTGCTACAATCCCCACCAAGTGGGTATACCAAGTTGGAAAAGGGAATGCCCTGTCACTTTACAGGTGAGAACATTGTTTCATGCTTGTCTTCTTCCTGAGAGCAGTGTGGTGTGTAAGAAATACTTTCTAAAATGTTTGCCACAGAGATTTCTAAATTTCTTCCTGGAGAAGTACAAGCGACGTGTGTGTGATGCTGACCAATGGGAGTTCATCAATGGGTGGTACATCTTGGTGATCATCAGCGACCTCATGACGATAATTGGATCCATCTTAAAAATGGAAATCAAAGCAAAGGTGAGGCACAATCCATTTCAAATCTTTTGCTCTTTACTGTATTTTTCATATATAATGTGTCCACAGAAATAATGCACACATGCATATCACACACATAGCACACATAGAAAACTAATACATGAAGGGGTCACACAGTTTGAAAAACCTGCGTAATATGTGTGTATTATTTATTTTAAAATATGGTGTATTATTCTGGATGACTTAGGCATTTTAAGATATAAAATCCTTATGGAGACTAGTTTGGTCTTTTCTTATACCCACAAAAGTGAAGCCTCCTCTGATTTGATTCTTATGGATACTCTGTGGAAGATGATCATCTCAGGAATATCCCTGTCCTCGTTACCTAGTGCTGCCACTGCAACACAAATACCACAAGTGAGTGACTTTCAAGAACAGACATTAATTTTCTTAGAGTCCTGGGGCCTCTAAGTCCAAAGGGACTCTGCTGTGTTGATTTGTTCCTTGTTGGTAGCCCCAAGCATTCCTTGATTTCTTTGCTTATAGGTAGGTGACCCTCAGATTGTATGTGTCCCCATGTGTGTTTCTGTATCTATTCTGGTCTTTTTATAACTTTTTATAACTCAGAAGTGATGAGATTTAGGATCCACCCTGTGATGGTGTGACCTCATTAAGAAAGAGAGGGGGGTGGGAAACAACACTCTATTTCCAAACAGGATCACATCCACAGCTGTCAGAATTCAACATATATTTGAGGAGAAGGCACAATTCAATACATAACAATCCACTAGGTAACTTAAACTTAGTAGCATCATTAGATTAGTAACTGAAGTTTGATAAGATTAGTTATTTTGGTTGCTGCTTTTTTCTTAGTATGAGAAGAGCAGCTAACCTAGAAGCCAAATATGACCAGAGTAACAAATATGTATGCCTAGAGACAATAGCAAGATCTGTGGTTGTTTAGTTTGCCAGATGGAGGGAAAGGAGGAAAACTCGAGCACCTACTATGTGTTCAACACTTCATGTAGATTTATTGGTTTTATCTCATAACAGCTAGAGTCTTGACTCCTCCTTCACCCAGTCATTCTCCCCCTCCACATCTTGCAGTCAATCACAGTCTTACCAACTTTATTTCCCAACCATTTACATGTCTCCCTTCTTCATCCTGACTACCTCCAGCTTCTTTAAGGCCATCTTCCTCTCTGGCTTGCACTGGTACAGCAGCCTCCTAATTGGTTTTTCTGCCTTCAGGGAACCTTGTATCCCTCAGAGTAGTTTTTCGGGAATTGTCTATTTCAGTGTTAAAATCTTGTATGCCCCCCAGGGCCTACCCCTCAGCATGGCCTCCAAGGCCCACATCACCTGGCTCTGCCTCCTGCTTTTGCCCTAAGCCCTTGCTGACCAACCGACACTGTTCCTCTCACACATTTTGCCATTCTTAGCACAGTGCCTTTGTTCAGCAGTCCATTTATTTGCAGTGCTCTCTCCCAGCCTGCCCTCAGGGCTCAGCCCCAGTCTGGGGTCACATGCATGAGAAACCCTCTGTGACCAGCGAGGCATTGTGTCTCTCGGTGCACTTGGCACATTAAAGTAGGGTGGTGTTTGTGTGTTTGCTTCCTCAACTAGAGTTAGAAGTCTTTGAGAGCTGGAACTGTGGTGGTGTTCATCATGTTTCAAACTTCTTTAGAAAGTAGCTGAATTACATTATTTTTAATATGATGGTTGTCAAACACCATCGGTTTATATTATTTAATACCTTCAATGGTAGGTGCAATATCTCTTTCAAGGTATTTTTTTTTTAGAAAGTAAAATTGGTTCAACTAACTGAAATATGAAAAGAAATAAGAAATTCACTTCGAAGTGGATTCTTTATTTCTTCTTATTCTCTTTCTCCTTTTCTTTTTAAAACTCTTAGTATCACTTTGTAAGGAGGCAGGCAATCCATTCTTTCCCAATCCATTTGACGTGAACCTGGTACTACTGATGCTCGAAATTCTTACTTCCTTGAATACAACTGAGTAGAGTAGAATGTTACTCATCTGTCTTTTTTTTTTCCCCCCTTCATTCCTTAGAATCTCACAAATTATGACCTGTGCAGCATTTTGCTTGGGACATCTACGTTGTTTGTTTGGGTTGGAGTCATCAGATACCTGGGTTATTTCCAAACATATAATGTAAGGAGGTGGTATTGGGTAATGCTGCTGGGATTGGGGCTCATTTCTTTTTGGGGTCTGGTAAGATGCCTCTAAAATATTTTTTTTCCATGTTCCCCATTCTCTTGATTGTCTCCAGGTGCTCATTTTAACGATGCAAGCCTCACTGCCAAAGGTTCTTCGGTTCTGTGCTTGTGCTGGTATGATATACCTGGGTTACACGTTCTGTGGCTGGATTGTCTTAGGACCTTATCATGACAAGGTGTGTAGCAATAATTCTTCCTTCCTCAAATTAGCACTTGGGACCCTTAAACAGAGGCTTCTGGCACTCACCTTCTTCCCACTCTTCTTCAGCACACATCCACATCTCTGATGTCACTCATCACATACCCTTTCATTGGTTTTCCTTTCCAGGATATTGAAGGGATGTCAGCATCAAAACAATAATTGCTAGGAACCAGAGAACACATTTCATAATTGTTGGGGACAGCCTTAAGGTGTCTCCTATTAATCCAGCTGATCATCAAATGAGAAACATGTAGACATGAGATCATTATAATAAAAATGAAAATCAAGTGGGGAAAATCATCCTTCTGATTTAAAGTATGAGGTTTTCTGTTTTTCACCCAAGCTAATTGAGGAGAGTAAAGATGAGCAAAGGCTCTGCTCTGAAGGACCATGTTAGATTATGATTGAAATGATAATGTCTTATCTTTATAGGTAGTTTTGATTATGGCATCATCTCTGGGCCTTATTAAAGATCAGTATCTGAATTCTAAACTATTACTGAGCTTCAATCTGCAGCATTATCTCAGAGATAGTTATGCTCAGATGTTCTGGTTCAGAAATCATAATTTGATAATGAAATCACTGTCAGGAAATGAAACTGAGTAGGTCTTATTTTCAAACAAAAGTGAAAGGAGTTACTGCATCTTATAACTTTTCTTCCATGTGCCTGTGACAGCTGGAACAGCAACAAAAATAGCAGCTGACACTGCTTATGTGATAGGCCCTGTATGAAGTTCTTCTGTGTTCTCTCTCATTTGATTTCCATTAACAGCCTGGGTGCTGTTAGCTCTCCTCAGGGGCTCTGCAAGGTGTAAAGAGGTAAAGATGTAAAGGATTACTTCCAAGCTTGTGTAACATCTTGGCCTTACTTTTGACCTCACTTTTGATAATCAGATTTACCAAAATGTGTGTGTCAAATCTGATTTGCAAATTATTCACAAAGAGTAACAGTCTACAAAGCTCAAACTTGCTGTACTGTCCTACGAAAATAAAGCTTAGTAACTTCTGTATCCAGACCTTGTCCTCTTTAAGCACCATATTCAATACATCTTTGAATAGTTAACTCTTTTTCCTATTGGAGAAACTGTGCAACTAACAAAGTGACAACCTCTGGGTTAATAATAAACCTTGATGACCTTATTGCTCTTCCAAGTCCATGTTGCTGATTTAATGGTGACTCATAAGTGAAAATTGTTTTTTAGTATGATCTTTCTGATCTGGAGAACTTACTGTGTTAGTGCTTCAGAAAATTAAGTTTTTTCTTGCTTGTCTCATGTGCTGACTGCTTCTCCACATTATTGTCACTAGAGGACAGTGTTGCACTGTGTGGAAAAATACACAGCCTAAGCATCTGGGTTTTAATTCACTGGCCCTAAGACCTAGGGAACAAGTGATTCTGTCTCCTTTGCCCTCCATCTCCCCTACTGCATCGTTTGAGAAGGTGCTCAGATAATGTTTTTCAAATTTAACTAAAATAGCTACCATTCTTGAATACTACAAAACAACTCTCTTGTAGTAGACGTAGGGCCAGAATGCTCCTCAGGAATGAAAATGGCAAGGTGTCATCTCTCGTATTTTGGACGTGTTATCAGCAGGAACCAGTCCCTGGAGAGGGACATCATGCTTGGTAAAGTGAAAAAAGGAAGACCCTCAACGAGATGGCTTGACACAGGGGCTGCAACAATGGGCTCAACCATAGCAGTGATTGTGAGGGTGGCGCAGGACTAGGTATCAGTGTTTTGTTCTGCTGTATGTTGGGAGCTCTGGTAGCATAGTGCCTAAGGCACTTGACTGCTAACCAGAAGGCTGGTGGTTCAAACCCACCAGCCACTCCTCGGAAGGAAGGTTGGGCAATCCTACTTCCGTAGTGATACTGCCTCGGAAACCCAAGGAGGGGTCGCTATGAGTCGGGGCTGACTCGACGGCACATAATGACAACGACGACAACGATATATAGGGTCACTCTGAGTCAGAACGGCCTCAATGGCCCCTAAAACCAACAATGTGAGCAAGACATGATACCCAATTTCTTTACTTGTCTTGCTGTGCTAACCCTCACAGTCGGGGAAGGGGTGATAGTTATCCCTATTTTACCTAAATATGTTAACTAATTTGCTTGGGATCATGTGACTAATAAATGGTAGAGGTGAGGTTTCCCTGACCTCAATGTACATGCTTTGGCCAATTCCTTCTAGAGCTTTTTCTTGATGTTATCCAAAATGGGCCATTGCAAGTTAGCATTTGGTTTGACCCAAGCAAGTTGTACTTCTAGATGAACTTGGAGAGATGAGCCATGCTATCGGTCTTATTTCTCTAACTAGGTATGGAGGTCTCCACCTGGAAAATGAGACTTATTTGATTAGTGAGTCTGATGACATTTCCTATGTCAATTTTGCCTTTTCGAAGGATCCAGATAAAATTGGTAAGCTCTGGACTAAGCCTATCCAATAAAAATATAATGTGAGCTACAAATGAGAGCTATCGTTGTTCCTTAAAAAGTTCTAGTAGCCACCTTAAAGAAATTCAAAGAAAATGAAATTGATTTTAATAATACGTTTAACCCAGTATATCCAAAATATTATTGCAGCATATAATCAATATAACATCTTGATATATTTTATGTTCTTTTTTTTTTTTTTTTAACTAAGTATTTGAAATCTGCTGTGTATTCACATCTCACTTCAGACTAGCCACTTTTCAGGGGCTCAATAGCTATAGCTACACGTGGCTAGTGGTTACCATGTTGGACACTATACCTTGAGATGTATCGCCCTGGAGGAGCAGAAGGACAAAGGATGTCTCTGTAGGGTTGTCCAGCAAGTCTGTTTGTGGCATCTATGATCCATAGTTAGGCTGATATGTTGAGGAAATAGATACTTAAAGACTGCATTGAATGTACTAGTCAGTTGTAGGAGAAAACCATCATTCTGGTTTTGGAATTTTGTGCTTCTTCTCTCTGTATTACTCCTAATTTGAATCTGAAGATGCAAAATTTTACTTTCCCAGTGCCTCTGACACCCCTCCCCCAAAACTGAATCCAAACTGTCAGAATTTTCAGGTTCTGCCATTACCTATGGAACCAGAGAGCTTTAAAAGCTACCTGAAGGCTTGAAGATGTGAATCTGTTTGCTACAGCAAGCATTTCCTGGAAGTTTTAGAATTATAGAAGCCTTAAGTGTGGAAAGTAACTTTTTCTTAAAACAAACAGAAAACACAACAAAACAACTCTAGAGAGGAAGTATCAGGAAAAATATAATTTTACCTGTTTGATTGGAGTCCCACAATATTTTTGCTTCTTATTTTCCTGTTTGATATCTAATTTCAGTGGCTTAACTGAAAGGGATTAACAATACAGAAGGTGTCCTGTCAATGTTCATTTCCAGTACTAATGGGCTTTGGCACAGCACTTTTCCAAAATGTCTGGGCATAAAGGGCTAGAGACTGTTAATGTTCTTCCAAACCTCCTCTTAAATTATTAAACATTACTGTAATGCAGCTGTTATATTTCCAGTGGACTTTTCTTTTAAAAAAATATTTATTAATTTTTACTTTGAGGAATATATTGTATTGCATTGTCCCCATTTTGTAAACAAGTAGACCAAAGCATTGAAAACTTATTAGACTTTGACGATGCCATGGTGATGTAGAATCTGCATTACAGCTTCCTTCATATCTCCAAGGCCTCTGATTTCATCCCAGTAACTCAACTCTCTTATTCAAAAGAAATACTAGCCAGTCAAAACGTTTTACCTGAGGCTCAATACCAGTTTTTGAAGCAGATTTTTACATCATTCTCTGACATAAGTTATTCCAGGTTATGTTTTTATTCGAATGAAGGTTCTTTTTGTCTCTATCACAAAATTATCATCACTTCTGAAACAAATGTTTGTCTTTTCACTGTGGTTCCATGCAACGTGTGGGGACTCTTTATGGAAAAAAAAAACAAAAAAAACCTCACTGCTGTTGAGTCGATCCTGACTCAGAGCACCCTTACTTGAGTTTCTGAGGCGGTATCTCCACAGAAGTAGATTGCCCAATATATGGAAATACACAATTAATATTTATTAAATGTTTATTGTGCACCAAACATTGCGAGGTTCTTTGAGACTGGATTTTTAGAGGTCAGGATGTGTGACTTGTTCCTCTTTGCCATCCCAATGTCTGGCATGGTGCATGGAACATGGTGTTGTTGTGGTATTGTGTGCTGTCGAGTCAGACCTGACTCATAGTGACCCCTCCTTGGGTTTTCGAGGCACTATCGCTATGGAAGTAGATTGCCCAATCTTCCTTCTGAGAAGTGGCTGGTGGGTTTGAACCGCCACCCTTCTGGTTAGCAGTCAAGTGCCTTAAGCACTACGCTACCAGAGCTCCTATGGAACATGGTAGGTGCCCAAAAAGTAGGTTGAATGAACAAGAAACAAAGACAGTAGTACCTGCTTTCCAGGAACTTAAAATCTCATAAGAAAGAAGCAACTCTGTAAGTGCAGTCCTTCTGGGCCGGAAGCACATGAGGACATGATTTCTCCTTTAGGTATCCCTTAAGCTTACCTCTACTATAGAATCTGGCTACTGATGATTCTGGTTCAGTCATTTCTTGTGGTACAGAATAATGTGGTGTACACCAGTCATTTAATTCATTGGGTTTCTACTTTAACTTTTCAGTCAGTTAAAACAGTTCTCACATGCTGTGGTAGTTAAATTTGTGTGTCAACTTGGCTGGGCCTGATTGAGTGGCTGGGCAGCTGATGGTAGTTATTGTCCATGATGAAACTGACAATCAACTCCATGGTGGGACCTACCACAAGCAGCTGAGTAGCTGCCTTAGGGATGTGGTCTGTTTCCTGTATATAGGGAGAAACCTTGGGGGATGGTCTTTAGCTAATGGCATGCTTGAACCCTGCATGTAGCCGTGTCATTGTTAGCAGCCTGCCATGCTCTGCTGACCTTGGGACTTTCAATGGGCTTGAATGAATGGCCTGCTGTGTGGTTTGGTAACATCGGGACTGTGCCATTTTATTTGTCAACCTTGGACTTGTTAGCCTTAGCAGCTAGTAGCTACCTGAGTCAAGATATAGCTCTAGCTTCAGTGGGCCGGGAGTAAAAAGCAGAGCTGAAGCTCAAGGTTGAGGGGCTTTCACTAAGTCTCTAGAGCCTGGCACTTTGAACTCGGACTTCTAGCCTCCCGAACTGTAAGAGAATAAACTCCTGTTTGTTAAAGCTATCCCATTTGTGGTATATTCCTGTCAGAGCAGCACTAGGTAACCAGAACACATGCATAAAGGAAAGGGAGGTATAATGGATGCAGTTATTGGTGAGATTAATGGTGAGAAGAGGTATTTTGTCTAGACTGATACCAAGTAAATGCACAGGAAACTAAGGATAAAATTTGATATGTGTTGACTAACTGGCTATTTGCAGTTCTGAAATTTAAAGCACAAATTGTTAGGATTATTGAAACTAAGAAAAGGAATTGACCAGATTCCAAAAGAAGTTATGAGAAATATGAATTATTAATGGTATTGTCAAAGTTGTAATTGACATCCACAGAAGTCAGCTTTCACTTCATTGCCTTAAGGGAACTGGAGGGATGGAAAATACTTACTCTGGGGATGCCTTTCTTACAGTTAGTCTGCATGTTAGTAAGTGATTTGCTCACACAGATTTCCCTACAGGCCTCTGTGGAGAGTGCCTTTAGTCTGGTTGATCAGTGTTATTGTGCATGTTGCAAAGGTGTGAGTGTGACTGTGAGTGTGACCCTTACTTGTGATACACTTGTGTACACTTTCCCTTGGCCACATACTTTAACCTGTCCTGTTCACCACCGGACAGGGATTGTAATATATAATGTTTGCTGGTTGGCGTATGTTGTTAGTTGCTGTTGACTCATAGCCCATGTACAGCAGAACCAAATATTTCCAGGTCCTGCACCATCTTCATGATTCTTGGTATGTTTGAGTCCATCGTTGAGTCCACCCATCTCATGTGAGGATTTCCCTTATTTTCATTGACTTGCTACTTTACCAGACATGATGTTGGGATATACAGAAGTGTGCATAAAACAACATGCCATCTAATAGTTTACCCTGTGGTCTTGAGTAATATTGGGAAAAGAGAGAGATAATAGACTAGCTGCCAGGGCAGAATGCCTTGAAGTAGCATTTGAAATAGCCCTTGAATGTTGACTTGATGTGGACACAGAGAAGAGGAAGAACATTCTAAGTACAGAGAAGTCTCATGAGGAAAAGATGTAGAAACGAGGCTGGTGTTCTGGGAGGAGAGAAGCACAGGGTGGTAGTGTTGATGACTAGTGTAATGAAGTGACATGAAGGAGAAACTTATTCGAGCCTGGTGAGCCCTGATGGTGTAGTGGTTAAGTGCTCAACTGCTAACCAAAAGACCAGAGGTTCGAACCCACCAGCCACTCTGTGGGAGAAAGATGTGGCAGTCTACTTTTGTAAAGATTTACAGCCTGGGAAACCCTGTGGGGATGTTCTACTCTGTCCTACAGGGTTACTGTGAGTCGGAATCCATTCAGCTGCAATGGGCTTGGGTAGGTGTTTGTTCGATTTGTACCCTGAGTCCAGACTTTGCATATTCTTAAGCAAGAGAAATTACCTGAAAGCTATATTGTATGAAGTTTTTTTTTTTTGCTCCAGCTTGGACCCAAGGGTGAAGAGGTAGGGACAAATATGGCTTCCTTGAAGGTGGTCATAATAATCCAGATTTAAGTGTTTCCACCAGGAAGGGTGGATCAGAGAAACATGTCATAAGAACAGGCAAGCATTAAAAGATTAAAGAGAAGGAAAAATGAATCAGTTTGACACAAAATTTTAAGTACTTGGTTATTTTGGAGTAAAATGTCTCTGTGGTAGGAAATTGGAATCAATGACATAATAGGAAATTTGGAAGGAAAGCCCATTTTCAGGGTTGGTTGGGGGACATTTTACTTTGTTGCATGTGATGTGATAGCACAACTGAAAAGGGAAGAAGTCCTACAGACATTCAATAAGGAGCTGAGTGCCCCAAAAGCCACACTGACTTAATGGAAATACAGATTCTCACCCTTAAGAACAACAGGATTTGATTCAAAACTCTACTCACTCTCTCCATCTTTTTTTTCTGAAAACTCTATTTTCTTTAATCTCTTAGGTCATTACTACTCTTGAGGAAGCTTTTCATATTACTCTAATGTTTTAACCCTCTTGTCCTGGAGACAATAGTTTATTAAGTAGCTACTTGCTGTTTGTTTACACTGGATGGGGCCCTAGAGTTGTTGAACCACTTACACCCTAGCAGTATGGCTAGCTGGCTACAGAATTCCAGTGGTATTTCACACTAGCTTCAGCTCTTACGTAGTTTCATATATTACAATGTCATATATTTCTGGTTGTAGTATACAGCTGCTTCAGTTCTTTCAGAAAGCAGTTTGGAAGAATGTACCCTTCAAAAATGTTAATAGCCTTAGACCCAATAATAGGCAAAACAAACAAACAAAAGCATTTTATTCAGAGATATTCCTTATAGTAGCAAATATTATTGGGATGTCCAGTGACAGGGAAATAATTGAATTTGACATTTAAATCATCTCTAAATGTGAATAACATGAGAAGATGCTTATATTAAGTAGAAAAATAATCAGAATCCAAAATTGTAAGAGGATACGACCACAGATGTATTAAAAAGTCCATAGGAGAATACTGAGGAAATGTCAAGAGATTATCTTTGAGAGTGTGGAGGAGTATTTTTTGAATAATATGTTCCTACTTCTTGTGGTATTCTAGGTATTTTAAAATGACTGCATTACTCTCAATTGTAGTAGTAATAGTAATAACTTCCATAAACAAGCTAACTGGACATCTCTCTGCTTGTTGGTGTAGTATAATTTATCTCAGACTAATTTTTGTTTCCCCCCTACAGTTTGAAGATCTAGACACTGTTGCTGAGTGTCTGTTTTCTCTGGTCAACGGTGATGACATGTTTGCAACCTTTGCTCAAATCCAGCAGAAGAGTATCTTGGTGTGGCTGTTCAGTCGCCTGTATTTATATTCCTTCATCAGCCTTTTTATATATATGATTCTCAGCCTTTTTATTGCACTTATTACAGATTCTTATGACACCATTAAGGTAAATAATTATCAGTATTTGCTGCCAAAATACTACTGCAAATTCTGTATAGATTGTGACATAGAATAATACTATATCTTTCACTTCAGTGTTTTGAGAATTTGTAGCAAAGAAACTTTTTAGATGTTAGAGATTAATCTAAATATGCATTTAGGACATTGTCTGTATTACTCCAAATCAGTGTGGGCAGTTTGGAGGTTTGGTGGGAAAAAGAAAGGAAATGGGTAAGGATGGGCTGAGTTTGGTAAATCAAGTAGCCAGGCTGCAGATCTCAGCATTGATAGATGGACCTGCCTGTGGGGGCTACCTGGAACTTCAGTTTTGGGTAGCAACTCTCAGTGATAAAGGACAGCCACCACCTTGACAACTTTCCATGTTCTGACACATCGATACACTGGATGAGGAGCTGAAAGCACTTGGCCGAGTAGTTAAAGCACTTGGCTGCTAACCAAAAGCTCAATGGTTTGAACCCATGAGCGGATGTGGCAGTCTGCTTCTGTAAAGAGTATAACCTGGAAAACCCTGTAGGGCAGTTCTACTTTGTTGCTATGAGTTGGAATCGACTTGATGGCAGTGGGTTTTTGAGTTTATATACTGGATGAAGGAGCCCTGGCTGGTGCAGTAGTTAACTGTTCAGCTGCTAACCAAAAGGTCAGTGGTTCAAATCCATCAACCACTCCATGGAAGCAGGATGTGGCAGTCTGCTTCCATAAAGATTACAGCCTTTGGAAACCCTATGTGGCAGTTCTTCTCTGTCCTATATGGTCACTATGAGTTGTACTCGACTCACTGGCAATGGTTTGGTCTTTTGCTATGCACTGGATGACCTGCTGCTCACATATTGCCTTACATCTCTTTGGCTGTTTCACTTCCTGCTTTGCTAAGCTATTGTCTTTCAGACAGAGCCCATTGAATGGATTAGTAACTTGAAAGAAGCTCTGTTTTCTCGGGTGGTGACACCTCCAGATGATAATGCTCAGAAAACACTGTTTTAGGTCCAGTGTCTGAAAAGCAAGGGATATTATGCCAGTGGCTTTAGGTTCTGTCTTCTGCTTAAACCCCCCTTAGATTTAACTTAGAAGAAAGCTGGTCTTCTTTGAAAAACTGAACACTTTTATGTGTATAGGAGAAATTAGTGTTCATGTGATGGTTGGTTCTAACAGCAAAGCTTGGCATGAGAGGAGTACTGCATGCTTTTGTGTAGGTTCATGCCTTTGGCATGGCAGTGTCCTTGTGAGTGAGCCGATCTTTGGTGTTGATGTTGAGGAAGATGACTTCACTGAGCATGAAGGGAGTGTGTTTTAAGGTCTGTGTGTCTGCTTGGAAAAACCTGCCTCTGCTCTTCTAAGTAGCCAATTTCTATAAAAGTAGAGCATATAGAGGTTACTTCCCAGGCAGATCCTTCACTGGCACTGTGGGTAGGGTGAGGTCTTATCTGGGCTTGGAATGAAAATGAAAGCTTTAGGCTTTTGGCTACTCCCTTCATTCCCCCTATTAGTGAACCCCTCCCCTATCTCACCCTGGCTTTCTGGAGTTTTCCTTTAGATTGTTCTGTTCCCATGGTGGCCCTGGCTTGGTGTTCTTGGACTGACAGGTTGATTCATCATGGTTAATATCAGTTCTTGGATCTGGGCTAGCAGTGTGGGAGAGTTTTATTTTAGCAAAGGTGGGTTTGGTTCTTTGACAAAGGGAACAATTTCTCATGCCCTGTAAATAAGGTAACAACATTGTGTGCTTTGTTTTAAAAGAAGTACCAGCAGAATGGATTTCCTGAAACAGATCTTCAGAAATTCCTGAAGGAATGTAGTAGCAAAGAGGAGTATCAGAAAGAGCCCTCAGTCTTCCTGTCCTGCTTCCGCTGTCTGAGGAGGTCAGTATTGTATTTAATCGGGTCTCCATGATCCTGAGATGAGATGCTCTGCTTCCTTAAGAAAGACTCATTCCAACTTTAATACTGCACTCAGAAATCAGCTTATTGTGGGAAATAATTAATCTTTCATTTCTACTCCCACTGGAATTGGCTTTAGAAATGAATCATTTCTTATAAAATAAGGTGTATAGTTACATGACATGGTTGAAATTTCTTAGGGATATTATGAGACTATTTTGAGAAGGCATGAATAAAGTCCCTCTAACCAAGAAGGGGAACTCTTAAGTGGCCAAAGGACCTCAAAGCTCTTATTTTTAGAGGTGGAGCTCTGAGAACGCCGAAGGCACTTTCCCTTGTCACAATATGTGGTACAAATAATCTTTCTTGAGCTTGAGAAGAAGCTGCATGTATCCTTGGTTGTAAACATCTTCAGAAGCTCTTCATTGACCAACTACACTTTTTGCTGTTCATCAGGACATGTATCAAAATGGTCTAGACCTCAGTTGACAAAGCACACCACAGAGTGATTTGAGGACTAAGTTGGGAGTCAGATGAAGACCATTTTCTTGAATGTGCCCATGTTCGTTTTCGTCTGAAGTCAAGGATGGGTAGTGCTAACTAAGAGATATCCTCATCCCGTATTTTCTGAAAAGGATTTTCTAAACCAAATTCCTGAAGGAAGGTGGAAGAACATAATTGCTGCTTAAAACCACAATATGTACTTTTTGGTAATCAATTCATACTACATCTTGGGATTTTAAATGTCACAATTAAGCATTTCCAAAGAATGTTTGGTAAATATAAAAGGAGGTATAAAAAAGAGTTAATTTTTAAAAATCACATTTCATTCTCTCAGAACATTATAGTGCTGCCATGGAAGCTGGATTAAAGGGGAATTAATTTTCTTAATAGGTAGCTGTTGCTTAAAAGGTACTATGTATAAGGAAAGTTTCTCAAAGTTGATCTTCTAATATATAATTAACTGTAAAGAAAAAAATATATTCATTGGGAAATGTAGTTGTGTATTCTGAAAAGTAATTGATATTTGATTTTTGGACCTTGGTTTGTAGCACAAAAGCCCCAGGAGGTGAATATTTTCCCATAAACCCATATAGAATGAGAGAAAGATTTCAGAGGTAGAGTAGAAGATACTGACAAGATTGAGTCTGAGTGGTGCGGAGGAAGGGAACAACATTAGTAGATACTTGTCCTAAGGAGGGTTAAAGGTTTATGAGAAGATGCACAGTGAGAAGGAAGCTCTGCTGAGAACAAAGAATAAAAGAATTAGAAGGAACAAGAGAATCCACCAGGGAAATCAACCAAAGAACTTGGATGTTGAATGTTTTGGGGAAAAAAAAGATATCAATATATATATATATACTTATCATTTCAT